TCAAAGGATCGGCTTCACTTGTCTCTTTGACTAGTTGTTGTATGGTGCTAAGAATGGCGATACTCACTGAGGATACCGACTAGAATGTCGGCGAATCGTTTGGTAATGAACCACGTCCACGGTTCAACTTTAGAAAAGATCATACTGACAATGGACTCCGGACTAGGTGCGTTCCTCTAAATCTTCCTACCAATATGACCATGTTGAGAAAACAAGGTCAAACAACTTATATACAACGAAAGGAGACTGCGAACACACAAAAGACCACACCATCTTGGTATTCATACCTTCGAAAAAAGGAATAAATTCACACAAATAAGATAGGTAAGTAGATGCTCGGAAGAGATGACGATTATCCGCACCAGTCACGAGATGTACTGTCGATGGTCGACTAAGTCACACTCGACTACATTGCGTAATAGTATCGACAGGGACGGACATAAGCAAGAGTCAGAGAAGACGACCAAAAACCGTACATATCACGACTAGATAATACGGAATGTATGAAGAGTCAATCTGGGCAAGAATGAGAGTCATGAAGAGAAAGATATTAAGACCAAAAATAAATCTAAAGGTATCGCAATAAGAGAAAAGTTACATAGTGAACTATTGTGGATAGTTTAATGAAATAACTGTGCCTCAACATGCCATATGTTTACGTTTGGCCCTGCCTCTCAAAAGAGTTTCTCATCAAGAATGGATAGCAGATTCCACTCTGCACAGGTCTCATCAGAACCCGCGAGAGATTCGAAACCAGGTTGTGTTCGCAGAATGGCAACACCTTAATGTTCATCTAAGAAAGATGGTAGACCACAAGACAGATGAAAATTTCATATTTATAGTAGTAATGTCAATAAGGTGAAATTGTTTGTGTTATTAAAACTGAAGGCGTTATCTACATTCGATACATTTTTCGAGATTATCAATAAATCTTGAATAAGAACTTGAGCCATTCTATATCCCTAAAAATGAGTTAGGACTGATCTTTGAACGATCCCATTTAATTCCTAGAGTCAGACTGTGGATTTGGTACATTCCCAGACAATTTTTGACAAATATAGACGTGGAATTCTGGAGTGAAGAATTTGACAAATCGATTCGGATTCTTCTCGGCAGCAGAAAGCTGAGAGAAGTAATACAAAGAAACGTACAAGCTGTGGGAAGTTGAAGGAAGGTTCATAAAAGTGGATATGCCTACTTTCATGCGAACTAACTAAAAAACTACGGCCAATATTAAGAAAATGGAATATTCATGTAACCACAAGGGAATAACAACATTTTTCAGAAATTTACGCACGCAACAAAAAGGTAGAAAAATAGGATTGCTTAGGAGTTTATAGCATAACATGCGAAGTCTACAAACAAAAATAGATTGGCGAAACAGGGATAAAAATCAGCATTCAAATCAAAGAACATCAAAGACATTGCAGGAAAAGTGATACCGAAAGATCGGAAGTAGGGGAAAACAGTGCATAGGCCGGACATGAGATCGATTGGAAGGCAACATAAAGAAGGGCCTCATATGGTGGCAGCACAAGGAAGCAGAAGATTAGAGAGGCCAATGACATTCTTGCGAAAAAATTTAATAAACAGGAGGTTGGAAGAAGGCAGAGTTAGCGAAAACTTAAGCAACCTCGAAGAAAATAAGGAAAAGGCAAGACTAGAAAAAAAGAGGACGCCTGGGCTAGAAAAAAAAGGGATCGCAAGAAAGAGGTGGATAAAGAACTTTCAAAAATCAAGAAAATACGTTTTGAAGGAGTGTAGTATGTTCGAAGAAGCAGCTAAAACTTTGGGTGCCCGGCGGTCACAGGACTAAGGAGATGGATACTCCCGATCGCCACAAAAATTAAGAATTATGGACAAGTTGACTGGAAATCGACTCGAGAGGCAGCAGGCGACCAGAGCTAGACGTCCACAGTTTGTTCAAGGTACACGGGTCGAATCACAGATGTGCTATTGAAACAAGGCCTGATATCTGCAAGCATGGGAATCGGAACCTATGCGTTCTGCCCGGTAAGGCGACAGTATACATGCTTTTAAACGCTTGAGAAAGAGAGCCTGGAGTAAAACGTAAGCTTGGACCAGAACCACATGAAATTAGCCAACCATAAAGATAAGAAACAGATCAACGGGCCCATGGGGGAGATTCGAATATGAAGTATGAGTAGAATCAGCAAACCGAAAAGGAGAAAAGGAGAGGGCAAAGTAAATAGCAGGCTTTATGATGCCACGCTAAACTCGCCAAAAGGTGCAGAACTATCGAGGAGTGGAATATAAACAAGTCAGAAGTTATGATAAGGCGGAGTGATATAAGAGGTTAGAGAGTGCCATGACAGAAAGTGGAGTGATAGCAAAACCGTTCAACAGAAATTTGATCAAGAGATTGATTACACTTGTCTCTTTGACGAGCTGTAGCTTGGTGCTGGGAATGGTAAGACCTAATGACGATGTCGATTACGTTGCCGACGAGACGTCTGAGAAGATACCAAGTCCACGATCCAACGCTGGGGATTCTCATAACTACTACAGCAGAGGACTTCTAACAAGGTACGTCCGACTAGGTCACTCTGATAAATAAGTTGCTAAAACGAGGTCAGACCACTTCCATACATCGAAAGAAGACTGCGACCAAAATAGAGGACACAGCAACTTGGTATTTATATCTTAAAAAATACTTACATTGAATATGAGTAACGTCGTAGGTTACAATGACAACAAATCGAAAATCCAAATATCAATGCGAGCTAGGATAGGCCTGGATCGCTTCGAAAGTCACATCTCTATTGTGATTCAGTGGCACCCATGACTGCAGGTGGTAACGTGGCAATTTTACTCGCACAACCCAGTCACCAATCCCGTTTGGGGTGCTAATGAGACTGTGAGGTGAGGTCGTATTCTCCACATGCATTTATGCCTCCAATTTTACCGGAATTTCATAGTCATTAAAGTTATGATAAAATTAGAAGGAATTAGAATGCCTTAGCATATAGTCACCAAAAAATACAAAAGGTACTTTCGACGAATTTCGCAGAAATTCGGACGTAAGACTAAATAAACCTCAGGTCCACATTGAGATAACACAGTTTAGTAGCATTAGTGTTACACTCACCCTTAGTGAATGACTGGCTTTAAGACGAACGAGGCATCGAACCGAATGGTCGATTTGGTTGACGATGTCGGTTAGGGCCTTAGCACCCGCTGATTCTGCTGCGGCTCCACTCGCGGTTGCATCAGCTAGCGCCATGCTGCGCTCGAGGTCAGCACGAGTTAGTGGTCCACCTCCTGGAGAAGCCGCTATTTCCGAAGCCCGCACAGTATCGCCGCCCTCGAGAGACCAAACTTCGAGACCAGAAGTGGATGGGATCCGAGGACTGGGGCTAGATCCGGCTACAGTAGAAACACAGCAAGATGAGCCGGAACCACCGGAAGAGATCCTCAGTTGTACGGATGCAGAGAGAAGAGAGGCAGGTCGAGGCATAGGGGGCGGAGGAACGCGACGCATCACTGGGAATTGTGGCGGATTTTGACCAGGGTCGACCGAGGATGGAACGGCTGAGTCTAACGAAATTTAAAAGAGAAAATCATAGGAATAGAGGGAACTAACTTTAGCAATGCAAGGGAAAATTTGAAGATAACTGAAAAGATAGTCAAATTGTAGCAAGTTAACGATATCTAGTCAAAAACATGACATGTGTAAGATACCGAATACCAAAGATACAAATAACAAAAAATACAAAACATCGTAAAATTTCTTCTTGATGGAAGACAAATAAGTCCAACAGTTATGCGTAAAACAAGACAAACGGTTCGAATACAATTTACCTATTTTAGTATAAGTAAACTTATTATACGAGGCTACAGAACTGAGTGGAAGGTTAGGAGCAAGAAGGATGAAGTGTCCTTGGCCCCTGTAGTTCAAACAAAATGGAACTTTTATTTTTCGTTTATAAATAGGCCTTCGGTACTACCAGTAAATAAGATATATGAGATGTATTTACTCTATTTCATTTAAGGTAATGAATCACCTTACACTTCCATTGAATTTTACATATCATTACTTCCTTAAAGGTATTTTTATCCAGAATGGATCGCGGTTTCGACCTTACCTGGATCTTGGCAACACCATGAGCGAGACTCGAACCACGTGTAGAGATTACACACTACATTATCATCAACTACCAGTCCTTAATCATTTCATGAAACTTTTATGTTGAAACGGTTAATTTCTCTTATTCTTAAGGAGCCATTCTTGCGTTTTGATAAAGCTATCTATTGTTGGTTGGACCTAATTTTCGCAACTCGGTCGGAGCGACAGGGAGACCTGGTAGGACGTGGATAATCCTACATCATCAGCCATATAATTCATGATGACGAAGGACTATGTAGGTTCCATAAAGTCTCCCTGTTGCTTCGCACAAGTTGCGAAAGCTAGGTCAAACCAAGACTATACTGCTAT